CGTTGTAGGATTATAAATGAACAATTCCTTTAAAAGTTTTTTTTATTTGAAAAAATCGTTATAAAGTAAATTTACAAGAAAAAAATACTTATTGTTTTCATCATAATATTAATATCAATCCATTTTAACTACAATTATTATTAATAATTTTTGCTTAATTGCTTTGCAAACCCCACTTCTAATCAAAAGATTTACAATAATAAAAATCATTTTTTGATGAAGAACCTCTTGCCTTTGTAAAAGGAATTCTATGTTGATTAGCCTTGTAAGCTTTTTTTCCAAGTGACTTCTATTACACATGTATTGTAGATGATATTTTTACCAGAGAATTCGGAGGTAATATTTAGTAGCCTAACTCCAGTGGGTATTGATATTTTGGATTATAAGTTATTTTTTTAAACAAATTGTTGTTTTTTTTATGTGATAAACATTTTTTAAATGACTTTTCAATAAATTTCAGTCAATTAATGTACCATGTTTTTCAGGGGCATAGATTCAATCTATTATTACATTAACTAAACTCTTATATGTTTTTATGATCTTGGGAAATCTTGGGAAATTTGCTCACCAAATCTTGGGAAATTTAAAAAAAGTGAGTGGCAGCCCTGGTCTAACCAAATGTTATTTTTCTGTAATAATGCATAGCAACTGTTTAATTTATCATTCCATAATATTAATACTGTCATAGAAACGGGTAAGATCATCCTTTAGTCTAACTAATCAACTCTTAATTTCTCTTTGTGCATTAGCTGCCATCACCTCTCTCTGGAGCAGGTGGTCATTTTTTAGGCCCAACCGCGCTGATCTGATCATTTGATATAATACGATTTTTTAAAACTATTAAAAAATATTTTTCTAAAAAGTATCGTGCCCTGTTTATTTATTATACCGGTACAGTTATATCAAAGAAAAAAAAGAATTATACAATTGTTGACGTCAGTTTCTGTCGACTCCTCCCCCGCCCCTTTTCAACACCTGTCAAACTTTGTCCACCGTCTCCCACTTATTTCGTCGACCTAATAAATGGACGGCCCCGGTAAAAGGCATATCAAATATCAATAATTATGATCTCTTTTATAAATCTGATTCCGCTTTTTAAATATGTTTTTTTAATTAACAAAAGATTTGATAAAATGAAATGTAGGCTAGGTCAAAGAATTTTGATTAATGGGACAGCCAAGACATTAAAAAAAAAAAAATGGAATCGCGATATAAACAACAACAACAACAAAAAAAAACCAGCATTTTCTGGTCCGGAACCACTCAAAATTGACTAATATGATTTGGTCATGAAAGAGTAACAGAAGACGGATGTTAAGGTCTAACTTAATTATGAGCTGAGCCATCTCTTGCACACAGGTTAGCAACGTTATCTTGACCTACGACCCCCATCTTACAGACACAAGGTAACCGGCGACTCCATTTTGATGAAACAAAGAGACCCGCGATCTACAAATTAAATGGGCTTAAAGAAAACACACTGAAATAGATTTCTCACTCTCACAGAATATTTTAAAAAAATCAAATGTTGTTGTTGTTTTTTTATTTAAAAAAAAGGTTTTCAAACTTAAAGATATCGATTAAAAATTATAATTACTAAAAAAAATATGTAGTCAATGTAGTTTAAAAAAAATAAAATAAAATAAAAATAATTTACGTTGCCAGCTGGCAGACTCAGAAAAACCCGCTCATTTAAAACAACAATAACGCGTAATCATTTAATGTAAAAACATGGATTAGACTACATTGTTTCCAGTAAGTGTTAAAAACTGTTATCACGTAATATGAACATGTGTAACTGAAAAAAAAAAAAATCTTTGGCATGCGTGTTATCTGATAGTTAAGTAAAATTTAAAAAAAAAATAAACACAAATATTTTAAAATTCAGCGGTGCAATTATAATTGATATCGATAAATAATATGAATTTGTATTATGCGCACGTGTATTGCAACTCGATAGTTTTGTGAAACTCTTTGTGGTAAGATTTCAGACCGCATCGTCTGCTGTTACATTTATTTCGCCATTGTCAGATTTAGGATAGAAAAGAAAAAATGCGTGGGAAGGAAGACAAAAAAGTAGGCCTTGGGGGGGGGGGGGAGAGAAGCATCTTAACATAAATAATCATATTGAATTACTTCCCTTAACTTGAAAAAATATTTATTAAAAGTGCGTAGAGAGGNGGGGGGGGGGGGGGAGAGAAGCATCTTAACATAAATAATCATATTGAATTACTTCCCTTAACTTGAAAACATATTTACTAAAAGTGCGTAGAGAGGGGAGAGCAACTATGAAGCAGCGAAGAAGCGTGTGCACAGGTGCCCTCTCTCTCTCTATCTCTCTCTCTCTCTCTGAAAACACACACACACACACACACATACACGAACTAACGAATTCTTAGCCACAACTAGCGGATTTAAATTACCGGCAAATTGAGATCGTGGAATGGTGCATAGGTA